TTGGTCAACCAAGGCTGGTCAAAAATTATGTGATGCACTAAAACACGCTGATGCAAAATATAGTATCAAAAATATTCTCGACAAAAGTTTTGATAATACATCCGAGGGCATTGAGAATGCTGTTAATATATATGTCATGAAATAATAGCTAATGCTGTTAACAAAGCAACAGTCTTTAAAAAGTCTGGTAAATAAAAAGCGTAGTTAAAATAAAAAAACTCCCTTTAATGACGATTTTCCTCATTTTTACCTATTATCTTGAAAACTGTAATAGATAGATAGAAACTTTAAATAACACAAGTGATTAGCAAGACATGATCTACAAATAAGCCAAAATGGCCGAAATCTTCGGTCGACTCGTTATTTGAGTTATAAATGATAATTTTTAACATTTTTATGCATTTTTTGCCTATCATCTTGAATATTATAATAGATAAATAGAAACTTTCAAAAAAGGAAAGAAATATCAGCAGGATAAGATCTACAAACATGACAACATGACTAAAATTGCCAGTTAACTCCCAATAGAGTTATTCCCCTTTAAAGATGATTTTTACATTCCCAGGTAAATACATTTGGTCAACCAAGGCTGGTCAAAAATTATGTGATGCACTAAAACACGCTGATGCAAAATATAGTATCAAAAATATTCTCGACAAAAGTTTTGATAATACATCCGAGGGCATTGAGAATGCTGTTAATATATATATGTCATGAAATAATAGCTAATGCTGTTAACAAAGCAACAGTCTTTAAAAAGTCTGGTAAATAAAAAAGCGTAGAAATAAAAAAAATCTTTGATGCTGACTTAAAAACAAAACGGGAGATACTCATTTCTAAAGGGAAGCTCTTAGCTAAATTTCCCTTTGATCCAATTTTTAAGGGGTCATACTACAAATGCTATAGAGAATACAATGCATCAAGAAGAGAGAATCTAAACAAAAAATATTGGACAGTCTTGATGGGTTAAGGGAAGATAATCCAAGAGAATACTGGAATTTAATCAAGTCACTCAAAGATGATAATAAGGAGGGTCCAGAAAAAAAACAGTAAATACAAATGTATGGTATACCTGCTTTAAATCACTTAATAAAATACCAGATAAATATAAATCTAGAATTTGAAGTAGACAAGATACACAAAAACATGGAATTAAGCCACTCGTTCAATGAACTGGATTTTAGGATAACCTCCAAAGAGATGTTAGATACTATTTGTAAGTTAAAATGTGGAAAGGCAGTCGGTTTAGATGGCCTCCAAAATGAAACATTGAAGAGTGGTGCCAGTATTTTGGCTCCATCATTTAAAAACTTTTTTAATATGGTATTTTCTTCAGGAATATATCCAAAAAAAATGGTCATCAGCATATATTTGTCCAATTTTTAAAGCTGAAGATCCATCTAAACCTGAAAATTACAGAGGTATGAAAATTAATATGTGTATTGGAAAACTGTTCAATTCAATACTAAACAAAAGGCTTGATAAATATTTAGAAACAAATAATATCATAAATCCATGTCAGATTGGTTTTTTCAAGTAAAAGTAGGACATCTGATCACATGTTTGTATTAAAAACTACAATGGATAAGTACACCAGTATAAAGGGTGGGAAACTTTTTGCTTGCTTTGTCGATTTCCAAAAAGCATTTGACAAAGTCATTCATTCTGGTTTAAAATATGAGTTATTAAAACAAAATATAGGTGGTAATTTCTATGCAATCCTGAGAGATATGTACAATAAAAGTGAATTATGTGTTAAAATAGACAATGGGCTTACTCCAAATTTTCATTCTCAAATTGGAGTAAAGCAAGGGGATGTTTTGAGTCCAAACCTTTTCAAGATTTTTATAAATAATTTACCGGATGCATTTAATGCAAGTTCAGATGCTGTTGATATTAATGGCCGTAGAATTGACTACCTCATTTATGCAGATGATATTGTTATTTTGTCTAGTTCCAAGGCAGGTCTTCAAAAACGACTTGATGGTTTATCCAAATGTTGTACTAAATGGTGTTTAGAGGTCAATCTATCAAAAACCAAAGTTATTATATTCAACAAACCTGGTAAACTTTTAAAAGAATGTTTCTATTTCGAGAAAGGTACTATACAATGTGTTAACAGTTATAAGTATTTAGGTTTAAAATTTATATCTAGTCGACTTTTTAAGCAAAGAAAGGAAGAATTATACAAAAAATCACTAACAGCTGTATTCAAATTGCAAAAATCTTTATCACCTTCCAATCCAAGTATTTCTACTCTACTATAGTCTATTTTAATGTATGGCAGTGAAATTACAGGTATGTTTAAAACTAGCTCTGCAACATGCCAGAAAGAAAGTGAATATTTATTACAGCACATTTATATTAATGCTTTTTAGATAAATCCAATTCAAGATATATGAAGTATGTTTTAGTTGTAAACAAAAAGTCTTCTAACTTAGCTGTGCTAGGAGAACTTGGTAGATTCCCTTTATATTTTTCAGTTGTATTATTAATGTTGAAATATTGGTTTAGAATAAAAAATATGAAAGATGGTTTACTGTATGATATCTATATGTGTAACAAAAACATGTTTACTAATAATACTGAATGCTGGTATATTTATCCATACATTATATTTTTAAAAAGCTGAATATTCAAAATTAGGAGGTAAAGCTAAACTTTTTTATCAAGTCAGTTCAACAAAACTTTGTAATAGTTTTGTAAAATTTGTAAACACTAAAAGAACAGATACAAAAAGTGGTAAATTAGATACTTATTTCAAACTTAAAACTTGTTTTTCTAAAGAAATGTATCTATCTTTAAACAATTTTAAATTGAGAAGTGCCTTATGTAAAATCAGAATCAGTGCCCATGATCTAGAAAGAGACCGGTATAAAACTTTATATATAGAAAGAGATCAAAGGCTTTGTAAGAAATGTACCCTTAATTTGGTTGAAGATGAACAAAATTATATTACTAGTTGTCCAGCATACAAAGATGATAGGGAAATATTTTTCAAGGACATAATTATATTAAACAGTATTTGTACTAATTTTTCATATCTCTCAAATGAGGCAAAACTTGTTTGGTTATTTACTAATGAAAATTGAAAATTTGTCTGCCCTAGAATATTTAGGGAACTATATTATTAAATGTCTAGATGTTAGACGAAATGTAAATTAATATGCGTAATGACGATAATTATTGTAATGATTTTAATGGTTCTGGTCCTGCCTGGAATTAAATGTACATGATTTATATAAAATGAAGAAATGTATGTAGCTCTATCATGATAACATCTGTATGAACTTTTAATATTTCATTTCAATGTTAAAAAAAAATGTTTTTCTGTTACAAATCATAATGTATTGTTTTGTGTGTATATGTAACAAAAAATTTGTTCCGGCGTGACATTTGTTCCACCGGGAACAAATTTCATAGGAAATATGTTCCACCGGAATTAATATCACAGAAAATATGTTCCAGCACTGTAAAATTTGTTCCGGAACTAATTTTTTGACTAAATGTGAAATAAGTTCCGGAAAAAAAATCATAGCTCCATGAATTTTTTCCAATTAATATTTAAAGTTTTAAAAAAGTTCAATAAGTTCCTGTGATAATAAGTTTTAAACGAACAAGTACTTATTTCATAAACATAAATGAATAAGTTACACTCAAACCTATTTTCACAGAAAATAAGCAACATATTCCACAGCGAAACATTTTCTTGTTATATTAAAACTATGATGCAATCTCAATGCTGTACTAAGTGTGCTTACATGGGATACATTTGCAATTGAAGGCATGAGTGTAACTATAGGATGAAGATAAGAAAGAAAAGCGATGGTAATGTTTCATAATTTGTATTTATGTTTTTATGTGGTATTCCTCCTTGGTTCCTGTTAACTGTCAATAGCCCGTGTTCTAGTCATCATTGGTCATACATGTACTAAGGTCATGGTACAGTTTCAAAAGAGTTTGTCTTTTATTTCTACATGTCTTTTAATATTATTGATCAGTCTCTTTGTCCTTTTCAAATTAGTACATATGTTCGTCTTTAACTATCTTTTATATTTGTTGTTAACTGTTTTTGCCAAAATCGAGGTACGTGTTGTTAACATGTTAATGGACCACCTATTGCCCCCCCCCCCCCCCCCCCCCCCCTCCTTCCTATATCTATACCAAGTAATTTAACAGTAGTTTCACATGAATGTTCAGTGTTCTGAAAATAAATGCAAGGATTTTTATTATCAGTGTTTACATGACCTTGTGCAATATATATATGCCAAAATATAGGTATCGACAGATTGTAGGACGTCAAAGTACATATCGGTATAACAATAATATTTATAGTAGTTGGGTTTTAACTGGCTTATTGATAACAACATCAATCTTTATACCGATAAAAACAATATTCAAAGATATGATTTCAGTGTTTGAATGGGTAAACTTTTAGAATAAGTTTATTTAAAGGATCGACAAGTTTATACCTGGATCGTATCCAAGTTTACGGGCTCGGTAAACAACATCACCGTAAATATTAGGATGCGCTGGCTCATGATCCCGTTTGTAATAAGTTTTCTTCCGGTACAGTAAAACTTCCAAACCAAATCTTCGTATCTATCAAAGTAAATGTTGAAAGAAATTTGTTGTAACGAATCAGTCGTAAATCATTGACTTACATTTCTTTACGTTCATTGAAATACAAAACGTCACTACAGATACGGGCATAGCAGTTCCTTTGTAATATTATTTACAAATGGAAGGAATATTCTAAAGTATGTGTTTAAATAGGAACATTTATTATAGCATTGTATAAAACAAAATTCTGGAGGAAATTTTGTAAGACAACAAATGGAAGTTTTTAACGACCTTGACTGGCTATACAGCCCTTGCACGGTCGGTTTGTTAGGAGGGATATGACCTTTATATAAATATACGTTAACAAAGGATCCACCGCATTCAATTTTCCGGATATATAACATTGTTTTTCCGATTTATTTTTGCTACATTAATCTCGTCCTATATAATAATCTTGCAACAAAATCTTCACACAATTTATGATTGTTTTCGTGAGTAGTACCTTGTTTTATAACATTGCCTTCTCAAAAATCACCTTCCTATATACATTTAACAGCTTGTACGGTTTGCTAGAATATATTTTCTAATAATGACATTAACACGTAAAAAGTAAAATAACAAAAATACAGAACTCCAAGGAAAATTCAAATCGGAAAGTTCCTTATCAATTTTGCATTGTTTTTTTTTTTAGCTCACCTGGCCCATAGGGCCAAGTGAGCTTTTCTCATCACTTGGCGTCCGTCGTCTGTCGTCCATCGTCCGTCGTCCGTCGTCGTCGTCCGTTAACTTTTACAAAAATCCTCTCCTTATTTAATCAAACTTGGCCACAATCATCAGTAGGCAAATCTGACGGGGTAAAAATGTTCATGAGGTTAAGATCTATCTGCCCTGAAATTTTCAGATGAATCAGACAACCTGTTGTTGGGTTGCTGCCCCTGAATTAGTAATTTTAAGGAAATTTTGCAGTTTTTGGTTATCTTGAATATTATTATTGATATAGATAAACTGTTAACAGCAATAATGTTCAGCAAAGTAAGATCTACAAATAAGTCAACTTGACCAAAATGGTCAATTGACCCCTTAAGGAGTTATTGCCCTTTATAGTCAATTTTTAACAATTTTTCGTAAATTTTTGTAATCTTTTACAAAAATCTTCTCTTCTGAAACTACTTGGCCAAATTTAACTAAACTTGGCCACAATCATCACTAGGGTATTTAGTTTAAAAAATGTGTCCAATGACCCCGCCCACCAATCAAGATGGCGGATATGGCTAAAATAGTACATAGGGTTAAAATGCAGTTTTTGGCTAATATCTCTGAAACTAAAGCATTTAGAGCAAATTTGACAATAGATAAAAATGTTCATCAGGTTAAGATCTATCTGTCCTGCAATTTTCAGACGAATCAGACAAGCCGTTGTTGGGTTGCTACCCCTGAATTAGTAATTTTAAGGAAATTTTTCAGTTTTTTGTTATTATCTTGAATATTATTATAGATAGAGATAAACTGTAACAGCAATAATGTTCAGCAAAATAAGATCTACAAATAAGTCAACATGACAAAAATGGTCAATGACTCCATAAGGAGTTATTGCCCTTTAAAGTCAAATTTAACAATTTTTCGTAAATTTTTGTAATCTTTTACAAAAATCTTCTCTCCTGAAACAACTGAGACAAATTTAACCAAACTTGGCCACAATCATCATTAGGTATCTAGTTTAAAAAATGTGTCCGATGACCCTGCCTGCCAACCAACATGTCAGACATGGCTAAAAATAGAACTTGGGGGGAAAATGCAGTTTTTGACTTATATCATGTATATCTCTGAAACTAAAGCAAATGTATAACAGTTGCATTATTTCATGCATCAATTGTAAATAAAAATATCAGGTGAGCGACACAGGCCCCTTGGAGCCTCTACTTTTGTAACTTCTAACAGTGTAGTTTTTGAAAAATATAATGATAGTTGCTTAACATCCAATGGGAAAAATTAAAACATAACTGGATTATACTTAAGACATGTAAGACCTGAACGTGGACCTGAAAAGACCTGAATAGACCTGAAAATATAGTACGATTCGATTTATTCAAATTACAATAACTTTATTATTTTCCAATGGATTTTTTTCAAATTAGAATTTTATTAAAGGTAAAGATCATCATTTTACTAAAAATAAAATGTTTTAAATAAAATACAAATTGTTGATGCCAAAACTTGGACCTGAACGGACCTGAAATTCTACGACCAGTCTTATTCAAACTTCAATAACTTTTTTATTTTTCAATGGATTTCATTCACGTTTAGATTTTGTGAAATGAAAATATCAATATATTATTAATCTTTAAACAGAAATCATGAAAAATATTTTTGGGGTGTCAATACTCGGACCTGAACGAGTAATTAAATTAACTGAGTTGACCTGAAAATCTCCAGTCCGATTTATTCAAGTTCTTGAACTTTTTTAGTTTTCAAACAATCTCCTTTAGATTTAAATTTTATTGTAGAAAAATATAATATTTTATTGAAATGGCAAAGAACTTTATGAAAAATATTTGTTTGGTTCCAAAAATCGGACCTGAACGGGGAAATAACATGACCTGAATGGACCTAAAAAATACAGGTAGATTTATTTAAACTGACAGGACTTTTTTATTTTTCGATTGATTTTATTCAAAATTAAATTATATTGAAGAAAAAGACTGATTTTGTATATACAGAAAAATATCTAAATAACAAATACCATTGTAATTCTGAAACCTGGACCTGAAGGGGAAAAACAGGATTGTCTTTGAAAAAAAAATTCAAACTTTTAATCAACTTGTTTAAATTGTATTTATGTAATCTTCTATAAAAATAGATTTTAAACTATTTTATATAAACATGATAAATACTTAAAATAATAAAAAAAAAAATCATTTGCACCTAAACCATATAATCTAAAGACGTGTGTTTGTCGTTTGGAGAACGTGTGCTGGCTGTAATTCAAACCTTGTATTAGGTGATAATTGGATCATCATTATTTTGGCCTAAATAACCATTTAATTTTTTTAATCTTTTAATTGGATGATCATTTAATCTTGTTTCATGACTTGAACATTGTTCAGTTGCAACTCTTGTTATAAACTTAACAATAAAAAAATGTAAGCTACATATGTAACTTGAGTGAATTAACCAACTTATATGTTCAGGCCTATTCAGGTCGATTCAGGTCTTTTCATTTTCCCGTTCAGGTCCGAATTTAACAGTAAAAAAATATATTTTTCGTTATTGTTTTCCCTTTTGATAAAAAAAAATAACCTATTTGTATAACAAAATCCAAAGTTGAAGAAAATTGATTCAAATAAAAAAAAGTAATTGAAGTTTGTATAAATCTACCCGTATTTTTCAGGTTCATTTAAAATGTAAAATCTTCGTTCAGGTCCCAGTTTTAATTAAGTATCTATCTTTTACCTTAACAAAATATAATTTGAACATGTTGAAGGAAACTCTTTGAAAAATAAGAAAATAAATGAAGTTTGAATAAATATATGAATGGAATTAAAAGTCCATTTAGGTTTTTTATTCCTCGTTCGTCTCATTTTTGGCACCCACAAATTATTTTTCACTATTTGTTTTACAATTTTCAGAAAATGTTAAACTTCTTATTTAACATGTTTAACAATATCTTATATTGAAAAATTTCCATTGAAAAAGTTATTGAAGTTTGAATAAGTCTGACCATAGATTATCTGGTCCGTTCAGGTCTTTACATTTCTAGGTTTAGGGCCAAGTTTTGGCATATAGATTAACATTATTATTATTAATGTGTTCTTTTTTAGAAAATACTGAACTTTACCTTTGATAAAACTCAAATATCAAGAAAATCCATCGGAAAACAAAAAAGTTATTGTAATTTGAATAAATAGAATCGTATATTTTCAGGTCTATTCAGGTCTTTTCAGGTCCATGTTCAGGTCTTTAGTGTAACCCAACATAACTAAATACGATGTGTACCTATTTCTATAAGTGAACAGTTATGGGAATTTATGATCCTACACCCAGTCAATATTGTTCATTTATATTTTGGCAGTGCATAACATGCATGAGGTAATGCGTTTCTTTGACTGTTTATGACATCTTTACACTAACAATGACTAAATACGTTGAATGTGTACTGATTGGTAGTTAATATAACAGGCTCTTGTAACAACACTCTGTTCAGGGTTCTTCATACTTTATTAATATTCAGGAAATTTAAAAATATAACCCCGAAATAATAATAACAAATATATATATAGTAAGGTTATTATTTATCACAGTTACATATGAAGTAATCATGTATTTGTATTTACAATAGTTAACGTCATTTAATTAGTACAAAGTTAAAATATCATAGCCTGAACAAATGTAAACATAATAAGTATATGATCAACATTTGAATATAAATTAACTATCAAACAAATGGAGCATTCTATTAAAATATATCAAGATACCATTACTTCGAGTTATACTGTGTATAGTAACAAGGGAGATCATCCCTTATCAAATACATATTTTACATCACTATCAAAGGTACCAAAGCATGTCAATAATATGCAAATTAATAGAGATCAATATAAGGCTTTTAAAAATAAGGAGATGTGGTATGATTGCCAATGAGACAACAATCCACCATAATTCAGATGAATCGGATGTAAGAGATTATAGGCAACCGTACAGCCTTCCACAATGAGAAAAACCCATACCATATGGTCGGCTATAAAAGGCTTACCAATTTGTGGAATCAGGCTATACACAAAATCAACAGCATCACATAAGCATTATAACCAATGCTCTACATCTATCATCAAATATATGTCTGTATGATCAATGGGTTCTTATGAAGTGGATAAAAAATTATACTAAATTCCATATGTCCAAAATACTGCAAATGTCTATCAATGAAAGATCATTCAGTTCCAAACCATATAGATATAGCATACACTAAAGTAAATGTAAGTTTTCCATTTTTCTCAAACAATACCACCACTGGACGTTAAGCAACCAACAATCAATCAATCAAACAATACCCATTTCAAATCTGGGGGTATGTCCCAATTAACCAATGAGAACACAGATAATCCGACCACAGAGAAATTCCCCAATATATATAAATTGTACAGGTAGAAACAGTTACCAATGTGCAGTCAAGCACAGCTAGCTGATTAATACTAAATACTCTAATGATCATGATGATTAAATAATACATCTATAGATAAACAGATCAATAAGTAATAATGATTAACTGTAAACTGGTAAAGAGACATGACTAAAATAATAAAATTTATAGAAATCGTCTCTACAACATTTAGTTTGGATTAATATGATTTTTTATAAGTTGTTATTGGCTTTGACCTTGCTTTGACAGTAACTTTGAGTACTCTTATTTCGGTGTTTTGTGTCTATTGTTTTTATGTTAGTTGTTTTTTGTTCCTCATACCAATCTTTGAGTTAGCCAACTGCAACTGATTTT